ATGGGTGACCTTATTGGCATTTCAAATACCAGTGCCATAGCTTCCAGCATCACAGCAACATGCAAGCCACCACAGTACAACAAGCTGACAGATGAGACAGACTAGGAAAAAGGACATGGCAGCCTACTTCTGAAGACACTAGCCACTGAAAACCTTATGAACAGCAGTGGAAAACTGTCTGATATAGTACTGGAAGATGAGCTCCTCAGGGTTGAAGGTGCCCAAAATACAACTGGGGAAGAGCTCTCTCCTCAAAGCAGCATTGACCTTAATGACGTAGATGGAGTAAAGCTTTCAGGACCTTCATTTGTTGATTTGGCACAACTCAAAATAAGAAGAAACAGCAGCAAACATCTGTTAATAATCAGAATTTGGAATGTACAAAGTATGACTCTAGAAAAAATGGAAGTTGTAAAAAATGAAATGGAACACATAAAGATTGATATCCTAGACATTAATAAGCTGAAATGGACTATTATTGGTCATCATGAATTGGACAATCATATAGCCTACTATGCCAGGAATAACAAATTGAAGAGAATGGCATCACATTCATCATCAAAAAGAACATTTCAAGATCTGTCCTGAAGTACAATGCTGTCAGTGATAGAATAATTTCCATATGCATTCAAGGAAAAACAATATGACTATTATTCAAATTTAGACACCAACTACTAAAATTAAAAAACTGAAGATTTTTACCAACTTGTGCAGTCTGAAATTAATTAAATATGCAACCAAGATGCAATGATAATTACTGGTGCTTGGATTAGCAGTCAGAAAATCCCTGGTGTTAGAAATGACACTGGAGATCACATGATAGAATATTGCAAGACTAATGACTTACAACACCTCTTTTCAACAACATAAATGGTGACCATACATGTGGATCTCACAGATGGAATAGAAAGGAATCAAATGGACTACATCTGTGGGAAGAGATGATGGAGAAGCTCAATGTCATCAGTCAGAACAAGGCTAGGGGCCAACTGTGGAACAGACTAACAATTGCTTATATGCAAGTTGAAGTTGAAACTGAAGAAAATTAAAACAAGTCCACAAGAGCCAAAATCTCAATTCAGAGACCACCTCAAGGACAGATTTGATGCATTGAACACCAATGACTGAAGACCAGACGAGTTGTGGGGTGACATCAAGAACATCATACATGAAGAAAGCAAAGATCATTAAAAAGGCAAGGAAGGAAGAAAAGATCAAAATGGATGTTAGGAGAGATTCTTGAATGGACAGTAGCTAAAGCAAATGAAAGAAACAATGAAGTAGAAAAGTTAAGCAGAAGATTTCAAAGGACAGTTCAAGAAGACAAAGTAAAGTATTATAGTAAAATGTGCAAAGACCTGGAGTTAGAAACCAAAAGTGAAGAACATGCTCAGTGTTTCTCAAGCTGAAAGAACTGAAGAAAAAATTCAAGGCTTGAATTGTGATCTGAAGGATTCTATGAGCAAAATATTGAGCAATGCATGAAGCAGTAAAAGAAGATGGAAGGAATACGCAGAGTCACTGTACCAAAAAGAAGTGTTCAACGTTCAACCACTTCAGGAAGTAGCATATGATCAAAAACTGATGGTGTTGAAGGAATATGTCCAAACTGCATTGAAGACATTGGCAAAAAATCAGGCTTCAGGAATTTATGGAATACCAATTGAGATGTTTCAACAAATAGTTGCAACACTGGAAGCACCCACTCATCTGGAAGACAGCTACCTCGCCAATCAACTGGAAGAGATCCATATTTGTGCCCATTCCAAAGACAAGTAATCTAATAGAATGAGGAAATTGTTGAAAATTATCATGAATATCACATACAGGCAAAATTTTGCAGAAAATAATTTTAAAATGGTTGCAGCAATACATAGACAAGGAATTGCCAAAAATTCAAGCTGGATTCAGAAGAGGACATGGAACAAGGGATATCATTGCTGATGTCAGATGGATCTTGGTTGAAAGTAGAGAATACCAAGAAGATATTTTCCTGTGTTTTATTGACTATGCAAAGGCATTCAACTGTGTGGATAATGACAAATTATGGATAATATTGTGAGGAATGGAAATTCCAGAACGCCTAATTGTGGTCATGAGGAACCTGTACATAGACCAAGAGGCAGTCATTTGAACAGAACAAGGGGATATTGCATGACTAAAAATCAGGAAATGTGCTAGTCAGGGTTATATCCTTTCAGCATGCTTAGTCAACCTGTACACTGAGGAAATAATCTGAGAAGCTGGACTATATGGAGAAGAATGCAGCATCAGAATTGGCAGAGGACCCATTAACAACCTGCGATTGAATATGGCACAACCTTGCTTGCTGAAAGCAAGAGGACTTGAAGCACTTACTAATGAAGATCAAAGGCTATACCCTTCAGTATGGATTATACCTCAACATAAAGAAAACAAAAACCCTCACAACTGGATCAATAAGCAACATCATGATAAACAGTAAAGATTGAAGCTGTCAAAGATTTCATTTTACTTGGATCCACAATCAATGCCCATAGATGCAACAATCAAGAAACCAAATGACATATTGCATTGGGGAAATCTGCTGGGAAAAAAAAAAAAAAAAGTCTTTAAAGTGTTAAAAAACAAAGATGTCACTTTAAAGTCTAATGTGCACCTGACCCAAGCCGTGGTATTTTCAATCACTTCATATGCATATGAAAGCTGGACATGAATTAGGAAGACCGCAGAAGAATTGATGGATTTGAATTATGGTGTTGGTGAAGAACATTAAATATACCATGGACTGTCAAAAGACTGAGCAAATCTGTTTTGGAAGAAGTACAGCCAGAATGTTGCTCAGAAGCTAGGATGAGAGCGACCAGTCCCTGGAGAAGAATATCATGCTTGTTAAAGTAGAGGGTCAACAAAAAAGAGGAAGACCCTCAAGGAAATGGATTGACAGTGATTGCACCAATGAGCTCAAGCATAGCAACAATTGTGGGGATGGCAGTGCTTGGTTCTGTTAACACAGGGTCGCTATGAGTCAGAGCTGATTCAGTGGCACCAACAACAACATGATAATTCGATGCTTAACTTTTTTAAGAACTGCCAAGTTATTTTCCACAGCTGCTGTACCATTTTGCATTCCCACCGACAATGGATGAAGCTTCCTATTTTTCCAAATCCTCACCAATACCTGTTGTTTTTCTTTTTTCAAAACATCATAGCCACCCTAGTGAGTGTAAAGTGATATCTCATTGTGGTTGTGATTTGTATTTCCCTAATGACTAATGATGTTGAATATCTACTGCTATAAAAGGAAATTCCAGGGACAGTCCCTACAAGGTAACCAGGCCCCTTATTCCTAGGCCATTCCGGGAACATGAGATGATGATGATGGTTGAAACCATGGGCAATTTGACTCTAGACTTCACACACTTCAATGCTACAGGTGGCTGCCTCCATAGAGATGGCACAGTTGTGGTCTCACTAGAAATAAAACTGTACCAGGGCCAAGGTACTAGAACCTCTGGCTGAGGACCTAGACCCCTTGTGAGGGAAGTACAGATGTAGGGAGAGATGGAGGCTCACCCAGGTAGTCGTTCCTCTTCTGTCTGATGTTCAGGACCTCTTTGATATTATCAATAGCTGGCTTGGGAGAGCCTCCCATGTTGGACTTTCCTAGAACAGGAAGGCAAGAAAATCATTCACCTGGGTAGATGTCAAGATTCTCCAGAGCCCTGGAAGAATGCGAAAACATCCATATTGGGGCTCTATTATGGATTGAATTATGTCTCCCAAAATCTGTGTTGTAAATCTTAATTTCTATGCCTCTGGTTATGATCCCATTTGGGAATGGGTTGTCTTTGTTATGTTAATGAGGCAGGATCAGTATAAAGTGTATGTTGAGTCAATGTCTTTTGAGATAGAAAAGAGATTTAAAAAGCCAGCAGAGTAGAGATGGGGTAAGATAGATGCCAAGACACATGGAGATCTCCAAGGAACCAGGAAACAGAAGCTAACGAGACAAAGACCTTCCTCCAGTGCTGACAGAGAGAGAAAGTCTTCTCCTAGAGCTGGCACTCTGAATTCAGACTTTTAGCCTTTTAAACTGTGAGAAAATAAATTTACGTTTGTGAAAGCCATCCACTTGTGGTATTTCTGTTATAGCAGCACTAGATAATTAAGACAGACCCTAAACACACTTCCTACGTGAGTTTTAACATATACCATTTACTGATATTTTCTATATTCCTGGCATTGGGCCAGGAACTTTATATGTTTTATCTCATTTAATTTTTATAATAAACCTAGGAAGTCTGGGTGTCCTTATTTTATAGATAAGAAAATTGGGTCTTGGAGAGTATATGATGCAGTGAATTTTTTGGTATGGATCTTCTAGCCATGGTTTTTGTGACTCCCACAAGATGACTATGATGATGTGAGGTGCTTGTGGCCCACCAAGGGGATTGGATAGTTTGCTAATCGTGTAAATAAGGTACATGCACCCTTGTGGGGATAAAAACAAAAGAACAAATCCACTGCCATAGAGCAGATTCCAACTCATAGTGACCCTCTAGGACAGAGCAGAACTGCCCCATGGGGTTTACAAGGCTGTAAATCTTTATAAAAGCAAATGTCTCATCTTTCTGTCACAGAAAGGCTGATAGGTTTGAACCGTTGACCTTCTGGTCAGCAGCCCAGTGCTTTAACCACTGCACCACCAGTGCTTCTGCAAATAAGATGTATGGAACCCTAACGTGGGGATTGGTCAGTTTTGCCATCCCACTAGGCTTAAAATGAGCCATCCCAGAGGTGGAAAGGGGGGAATCTCACTACCATCAAGAAAGAAGAGCCAGGAGTGTACACTTTGAACTTGAGATCCTTGCACTGATCCTCCTCCACCCAGGAGACAGAGAGAGCTACAACATTTTGTTGAGATGGCAAAAGACAGCAAGCAGCAGCAGCAGAGAAATGGGAGCAGTGGAGGCAGCAGAACCAAGAGACCAGCATGAGACAGAGTAGTTGGCTTTCTGGCACTGAGCAAGAAAGCTGAGTGCCTTCAGGCAGGAGCCTTGCTAGTGGAGTGGGGTGCCTCTCTGAGCACCTATAAGCAGGGCTCAGAGAGCTTTGTAACCCTTGCCTGACCAGGGCAGAAGTCAGACCGAGGGTCCAAGAACTAGAGAGAGACCAGCCTTCAGGCATGGCTGAGGGAAGGCTGTCCTCAAAGAATTGTATCCTGAGCAAGAATTGCATCCTGAGCATCCTTAATCCTGAATTGTAACCTGTTACTTTCTTAATAAACCTCATAATCATGAATGCTGTCTGTGAGTTCTGTATGGGCATTGCCACATATTATCAAACCCAGCAGAGAAGTAGAGAGTACATGGGAGGGACAGTTGGTACTAGAATTGGTAAAAAAAATTGGAGGGTGGAAACATTGGGCAATCTACTTCTGTAGTGATACCACCTCAGAAACCTGCCTCAAAAACCCAAGGAGGGGTCGCTATGAGGCGGATACAGCTCTACAGCAGTGGGTTTTGGGTTTGGTTTTCCACCTCATGGGTTGGGCTGTTGATGTTGATCTTGAGTCTCCTTCCCACCCCCAGTGAAGTCAGAGGAGGTCAGACTGCCTCCACGCTCTCCTTTCATAGCAACCCCTCCTTGAGTTTCTGAGGCAGTATCTCTATAGAAGTAGATTGCCCAGTCTTCCTTCCAAGGAGTAGCTGGTGGGTTTGAACCACCAGCCTTCTGGTTAGCAGCCAGATGCCTTAGGCACTGTGCCACCAGAACTCCTTTACAGGGATTGTTTATACAAAATCAAGAGATAAATGACAAAATAACAGAGTCCACTCACTGACCTAGACTGTTCCTCCCATTCGTGCACTTCAGACATGTCTCCTCATATGTTTGTAGGTTGTCCCCCAGATAATAGCATTAACAAATATTTACTAATCACAAAGCACCTTTACATTAAATTGTTCTTCATAAAAATAGTGCAAGGACATATAGTACTGCATTGTCAGTGAAGGCAAACATGGGTATACAGGTGGATAGGTGGGTGGACAGGCTGAACTGTTAGGTATGTCTATGCAGCGAGGAGTATACCCAAGACCATGTACAGGGTTGGCAGACAATGGTTCTACAAGTGTATTTGTATGTTCTGTAAGAATTCCCAGGTGTATAGTAGAGCTGACAAGGGACAAGTTTGTAGTCACTTCTTGGTCACAGCCAGCTACCCAGAGGGAGCAAGTAGTTGAACACGTGGGCTCAGGACCATAGTCACAGGGGACATCAAGTTCAAGTGGCATAACATACTACACACATTGTTCCACCTCCTACTTTGGTGAGTAGTGACTGGGATCTTAAAAGCTTGCAAGCTGCCATCTAGATGCAACGATGAGTCTCTCCTCATCCAGAGCAGAGAAGAATGAAGAAAACCAAAATTCATGGAAACAATTATTCCTAGCAACTGGTACACCATCCAATCTGCAGCCTATATGACTATGAGACCAGAAGAACTAGATGGTGCCTAGCTACCACTGTCATCCACTTGGAAGGGGGTCTATGTAGGAGATTCTGGATAGAAAGGGAGAACAATGTGGAACAAAACTCAAAATCATTTGGAGGGGGAAAAAAAGGCGGGGGGACCAGGTTTGCTGGTCCGATAGAACCTGGTGGAACCACTGAGACTATGGCCCCTAGCTGCCCTTCAGGTCTGGAATTGAACCCACACCTGTGGTTTCCAGCCAAACAAAAGACAGGCATATGAGTTGAACACTTACCTAAAGTAGATACACTCCTTGGAGAGAACAATCATGAGAGAAAGAAGGGCAGCTTATGCACAGGGAGACAGCTCAGGGGACAGGAGTGCATGGAGGGATGGACACTGGGATGAGGGAACTATCAGGAGGAAGTGGGAGGGGAGCTGTTGCATTGTGGTAAACTGTGGCCCATGTCATGAGACAAAGTATATGTGAACTGCTGTATGGAAAGTGAATTTGCTTTGTATATCTTCACCCAAATCAAAATAAAAATAAAATAATAAAAGCTTGCAAGCAGCCATCTAGATGCAACAATGGGTCTCTTCTCATCCAAAGCAAAGAAGAACAAAGGAAACCAAAGATTCATGGAAAGAATTAATCCTGGTGACTGGTACACCATGCGATCTTCAGCCTATATGACTGTGAGACCAGAAGAACTAGATGGTGCCCAGCTACCACTATCAATCATTTGGAGGGGGATCTATGAAGGAGATCCTGGTAGAGAGGGAGAACAATGTGGAACAAAACTCAAAATCATTTGGGGGGAAAAAGGGGGGGGGGACCAGGTTTGCTGGTCTAATAGAGCTTGGTGGAACCACTGAGGCTATGGTCCCTAGCTGCCCTTCAGGTCTGGAATTGAACCCACACCTGTGGCTTCCATCCAAAGAAAAGACAGGCATATGAGCTGAACATTTACCTGAGGTAGAAACAGCCCTTGGAGGATCAATCATGGGAGAATAGAAGGGCTGTATGTGCAGAGAGACAGCTCAGGCTGCAGGAATGCATGGAGGGAAGGACACAGGGAAGAGGTAACTATCAGGGAGGAAGTGGGAGGGGAGCTGTTACATTGTGGTAAATTGTACTCAATATCATGAGACAAAGTGTATGTGAACTTCTATATGGAAAGTGAATTTGCTCTGTGAACTTTCACCCAAATCACAATTTAAAATAAAAAAGAAATATAGTTCAAGGAAAGGATGACAGCCATCACCATTGTCATTGTCATCAACATTATTTCTATCTTATAAATAAGAAACTGAGGCCCAAAGTGGCAGAGATAGAATCAGAATGCAGGTCTTCTCCCTTACTTTGGTACTCTTCCCACTATGCTAAACTCACTCACACAGACAACAATACTCACCGTCTGTCAGAAGAATGATGACATGTCGGATCTCCTGCCAGGCCACTGTGTTCATGCCAAGGCGTTGCATTTGGTTATTCATCATGAGATAGACACTATTTAGGGCCTCATAGGTGTTGGTCCCAGTTCCATTTTCATGGTCTAGAATATACCAAGAAGAACTCTCTTAGAAACTTCCCATCTATCACCCCAGGGAAGGGACTCACTTTAGCCCCCAACCACTGGAAATGTTTTTTATCATTTGCTTTGATAAACTCAGACCTTTGCCATCCAGCTAGAGATTTAGCATCATTTCCTGTTCAGACATTAAAATCTTTGTACCTTAGAAATGCTCATTGTATAACTTCCAGCCTCCAATAATTCTACCTTAAAATCCCAAAATCCAAAGATGCAGTTTCCAAAGAGCTTGGATTTTTCTGTAGTCATTTGTTACCTACCACTCAGGTAGTTTTAAGTGTACAGGTGTAATGACCATGGGAGACTATATGGCTAGCCATGAAAACCAGACATACTTCTTAGGACACACAGGACCATATGGTTCTGGCATGAAGAAGGAGACCTGTTTGATGCATCTGGACTTGTAACACTTCAAAGTAAGCCATGGGTTGGTGGCATTTGGGACTCCCACTTGAGGAACCAAAGCCCCAGACCTCATAGATTTGAATGCCACCAAGAAGCCTCACTCTCTCTAATTTGTCCAGAATCTTCCCCAGGCACAGGGTCCATGCCCTTCTCTCCTATCTCCTCATTTGATGACATCCATACCTTTATAGTTAGCATTGTCCAGACTGTGGAGCACTTCAGTTACATCCTGGGAGTTTTCATGCAAAACAGACATGATGAGTTTGGGCTTTGAGGCAAAGGTGATGATGGCAACACTAACCTTGATCTCAAAGCTGAAGAGCTGTGAAAGGCAAGTGAAAGACAGCATGAGGGACCTTGAAATCAAAGGAGAGATGATAAAAGATCGAGCAAAGGGCCTGCGAGGAGGTAGAGAACCTGGACCAAGACTGACAGAGGCATGGTCCATGGGTAAGCACTTACTAAAAAAGAGCTGCTTGAAAGAAGCCCAGACATGAACATGAGTATCTACTCTCTAGACAGGCTTGCTTCTTATTTAATCCTCACATCAACTCTGTGAGTAGAGAATGATGGTCCCTATTGTACAGATGAGGAAATTGAAGCTGGTTACCCTGCCCCAGATCATACACTAGTGTGGTGGTTATGTTTGTGTGTCAACTTGGCTGGGCCTGGTTGAGTGGCTGGGCAGCTGGTGGTAGTTATTCCCCATAATGAGACTGGTAATCAACTCCATGGTGGGATCTACCTACCACAAGCAGCTGAGTAGATGCCTTGGGGTATGTGGTCTGCTTCCTGTATATAAGCAGCAGTTTTGGGAATGGTCTCTAGCCTTTGCACGCTTGGGCCCTGCATGTAGCCATGTTGTTGCTCAGCAACCTGCTATGCTCTGCCGACCTTGGGACTTACAGTGGACTTTAAGTTAATGACCTGCCATGTGGTTTGGTAACATCAGGACTGTGCCTTTCGACTTGTCAACCTTGGGGCTTCTCAGCCTCAGCAGCCAGCAGCTGTCTGAGTGAAAAAATGCCTCTAGCTCCAGTGGGCCGGGAGCAGGAGGCAGAGCTGGACCCCAAGGTTGAGGGGCTTTCACCAAGCCCCTAGAGCCTGGCACTTTGAACTTCGACTTAAAGCTTCCAATTGTAAGAATAAACTCCTGTTTGTTAAGGCCATCCCATCTGTGGTATATTCCTGTCAGAGCGGCACTAAGGAACCAGAACAACTAGTAAGAAGTAGAGGTAGGATTTGAATCCTGCCAACGAACCTCTGAGGCCACGTCTCTAATTGTTGCAATTTGCAGCCTCATGGCCTAGTGAGTTACTTGACTCTAAATCCTAAGAGAGACTCTAAGGAATACAAACACTGCCTTCTCTAAGATGCTGTTGCTGTTAGTTGCCATCGAATCGATTCTGACTGATAGCGACCCCATGTGTTATACAATAGAACTGTTCAATAGAGTTCTATTGGCTGTAATCTTAACAGAAGCAGATCTCCAGGACTATCTTTTGTGGTACCGCTAAAATGGAACTGGGAAGAAAAACATATATCTATATAAATTATCACAGAAAGCATAATTACAAAGCAAAGTGCCAGCAAAGAATCTAAACCACTATTGGCTTTTATCAATGCACCTCATTGATAAAAACATTTTAAACATGCTTCTTAACAGAGGTATATTTGTGTATACAAGTGGGTCACTGTTCAAATGTAGGCATGTTAAAACATACACAAAATATTAAAATTTTTAAAGGAAGAGGTAAAAATCTTTGAATAAAAATATTGTTAATTTTTCTGCAACATCTGGTAGAATATCTTATGTAGGTAATCTGTGGAGACCGCTGTCCTAGGCAGTGAATTCCTGGAAAACAGAACCTCAACCTTGTTCATCTTTGGTGTCCCCCAGCACCTAAACCAACCAACAAGTTGCTGTCAAGTCAATTTTGACTCATGGAGACCCCCTGCATGTCAGAGTAGAACTGTGTTCCATAGGGCTTTCATGGAAGTGACCTTTCAGAGTAGGTCATCAGATCTTTCCTCTGAAGTGCCTCTGGGTGGGATGGGACCACCAATTTTCAGTCTAAGTAAATTAATTGTTTGTGCCACTCAGCACCCAGTGAAGTGGCTGACACATAGCAGGTGTCTTAATAGTGCATGTGAAATGAAAAATGTAATCATATAACTTGAATTAATGATTCCTACATGGCACTTGGAGCTCTGGTAGCATAGTGCCTAGGGCACTTGACTGCTCACTAGAAGGCTGGCAGTTCAAACCCACCAGCCACTCCTCGGAAGGAAGGTTGGGCAAC